AACATTGGTACCTGTATATGGCTGAACTCTCTTTGAAAGGGCTGGGGTAAGAGGTATCATTTGGTTATTACAAGCCTTAGAAAAAAAGACAATGATAATGTACACATGCACAAAGAATTTATGAATAAAAAATATAATCCTTGATTGGCTTTATGATTCTAGTTTGTCGTATAAATATTGAGGAGATGCCTTCCTAGAATAGTTTGGGAATGATACATTACTTGCCATGTAGAGAGTATAACAGGATAAGGTGAGAACTGTGTATTTCACTGTGTATTTCCAATTTATATTTATACTCTGTTGAAACTCTGTGAGTGTGAAAAAAACGACTGTCTCAGGAATGATTAACACTAACAAAAACATTTATGAGCTGTTTATGTTACGACAAGAGCCGCTGATGATGTGACAAATGGCTAATAACTTGATGAAATTAACACCACATATCCTGTCCTCTCCTTCTTACCAATATTTTCTCACTTGGTTCCTCGAGCTGAATAAATAAGTTTTTACTGTTATAGGAGGCTTTTATTTTGATCAAAACCAGTGAAAATACAATTTGCACTGCAAGCCAAGCATTAGGCAAGTTGTATCTTTTTGCTGTTATTTGCTAGGCGTTGTAGGTGGGATCCACTCATGTATCTTCTTGCGAGTAGTGGAGTAAGGTACGTACTGTTCAGGAGTGCCACTCAGGTTGAATTTATGGTTCTCCCAAATAAATTTACGAGCAACTGGTGGATGAGTAGTTGGAGGGTCTTCCGTCATACAATGAAGCCAGCGATGCCTTAAAGAGGAAAAAGACACATTGTTATTAAAAAAGAAAACAGGAAAGTGTGCAGAAGGGCTTAGGTCACCTCTCCCTGCACCAAAGCTTCCTCCCACCTGCTTCCCTGTTACATTTGCGTGGCCTCAACCAGTCGCCTGTCCAGGCAAGCACAGCACATGGCAAACCAGGTTTGGCTTTGCTTTATTTTTTAGCTACCAGAAGACCATACTGTACGGCTGCTTCAGATCAGTTCCAAGGCCCTGGTGAGGGCACTACTTAGGAAACAGAATAATGATGTAAATTCACCTAAAACAATTCATGTAAATGTTTACTGACTCCACAATAGAACGATGAACGCAAATCACCAGCGGGCTAATTACCAAATCATTATGGTGATTAGCCTTGACCTATAAAAAGGAAACACCAACCCCCCTCTGTGCAAACAGCATTAAGGAAACCTGTTTTCTACAGCAATCTACTGAAACGCCACCAAAGGGTTGAACTGAACCGATTCCTGGGTGCCCCAGACAACCCCCAAGGCTCAACCTCCTCCTTACCCTGCACTGGTCCCAGCACATGGAGCTGTGGCAGGCGCCAGGTTATCCAGGTTATTGCCCACCCCAACAGGCTCCTGAGCCCTTCGGCCGGGGCGGGATTAACGAGGCTTCTGCCAACCAGCTCTGCCAAAGACTGGACCTAAAAAACGAGAAGTCCCCAAGGCCAGCTGTGCTTATAAAGCCTTCAGACTGCACGTGCAGCCCTTAGCGGCCGAGCCTGCACCCTTCAGTGACAGGGCAATGCCAAACACAGCAAAGGCAGCAAGGAACAGGGCCCCGCAGCATGCGTGTTCCAGACCTGGAAGCTCTGGAGCAGGCGAGTATCTGTTCAGTCAAATAGCTTCTAAACATTCATTTAGAAAGAAAGAAAGCACATTTCTGGAGAGAAAACTTCACTTGGGAAGTATGTCAGCCATATGTTTATCTTCTATATGGGAAAAAAAAGAAAAAACCAAACGACCTCAAACCAAACCCACACATGGTACGACTAAGGACTGCCAGGAAACTGAATTGAATACAAAACTGGATGAAATCATAAGATCTTTAAAAAACAAGGTATAAAAGCCCCTTTAAAGGTAAGAAATGGCCTCCTATGGGAAAAATCATCCACTCATGGGTTTGAAAGTTATACACACACTTTCCGATGAAAGGCCCTAATGCAACAAGGACAGGAGAACCCTCCTCTTCCCCCTCCCAGTTCCCTTTGGAAATCCTGCAGATTTCACACCGCTTCTCTTAAAAAAGGCCATTTTTTGGATAGGTACTTCCGGAAGAAGGCAGCCCCTTAGCACTAACCATGCCGTGGTCCAAGGATACAGGTTCGGGTCCTGCTGGTTTTTAAACCTGGCACTACAAGCCCCTGAAGACGCCCGGGCCGGCAGCCCCCGGAGCCGGGACAGGATGCAGGCCAAAGCGCCACGGAAATAGCAGGCATCACCTCAGGACAGCTCATGGGCGCTGAAGCCCTCGAACCCCTGGAATAACTCACACCCAGGTTACTCACTCGTTTAACCCAGTCTGAAGACACGCAGAAAAGGCAACACATTTATTCTATAGCTGATTTCATTATTTTGGAGCTTTTCTAAGGCTGGCTCCGTTAACTCTTTTAAAATGCAATTTTTTAGAGTAATTAAAGCATTATGAAATTGGCGTTCGGATTTTCCGAACGTCTAAAACAGCAACATAAAATTGGGTTCAATTTAAACAGATAAGCAAAAAATCCTTAAATCCCATTTTCACGCTGGAAAGTAGGGAAAAATACACATTTTCCATGAGCGTGAGCACCATAATCAGAGCGAGGTCCTGAAATACTTCCAGAGGAAGCTTCAAAATTCGTCTGGACCCTGGTGGCTATTAAGGACGCAGGGATCGAAGAGCTTCGAGGGGACTGAGCCTAATCATGACGGGCTTGCTTTAAAAGCCCAATGCGAAGCTTAGAAAAGCACTTCGGCTTGTGGACAGGCTGTTGCCTCAAACACAAACCCTCGCTCTGCACTTGAGCAGAACCTGCAAAACCTGAAAACTTGTATTTCGGGTAGCCTTTCCCCTTGAGGAACTCCCTCCGAGACCCTTTGGAAGCCCTGCTGCCAGCTCTAGCCCGTGCTCGTGGAGGCTTTTCATGCACCAGACTGGACAGCAGGAAAAAGGAGATCTGACATCTTGCAGATGGCCACATTTCCATGCAAGCTCTGCCTGTAACGCCACACAGGATAAACAGGATGCAGAAGCAATCGATGACTTTAAGCCTAAAAAAGCACCAGATAGCTTATATAAACTTATATATATAAACTACTGTTTTAAGGCAGCAGAAGCCCTAAAGAGGTTGGCACAGTTCCCTGCACCTTAAAAGGTGGACAGAGGGACAAGTATGTTTTTATTCTTGTACATAGAGAGGTTAATTTTGGCTTTCCAAGAAAGCTACTAAAAGATATTACACAGTGATGAAGCAGCATCCCACCTAACTGAAACCACTACAGCAGAGTTCAGAAATCTAGTTACTGAAAACACAAATTTATTGTTAGGTTAGCAAGAAGAAATAGAAATGTTACTGTCCCCCCAAGCCCACTAACAAAACGCATGAACACTATTAAGCTGAAGTTATATTTGACATATTTCATTCTGTGAAATGGATCCTCCTAGGATGTTAGATCCACTCAAGAAGGAAATAAACACCGAGGTGCCAGAGAGCCATTACACACAGCAGGCAGGAAGCCACCAAAACAAAGCGGCCCTGGCTGTTCTAAAAGCAGACGGCAGGGGGGTGAGGAGGGGAGGGACGAGGGGGACGAGAGAAAAAAAACCTGAGGAAGGGGATAAACTGGACTATTAATAAGTGCAAATTCAAGCTAGACAAAACAGTTTTCACAGTAAAAAAATACGGAAAGAGTTTTGCTACCCTGACTAGCACTTACAAGCAGTCTCTGGATTCCTAAGGAGTTACACGCAAGAGGACTTCTTTTCATCTTAATGCTAACATTTTCTTCCCTGAAGCTTTCAATAACTTTTCTACAGAGGCAAAAGCACAAAGTCCTAAAACCTGAAAGCCATTTAATCTTGCCATCTACACACTTGGTTTTTGACTACTTCTGAGTAAAAAGAAGAAAAATTTGCATCTGTAAATAATTTTGTGACTATGCGCGAAGCAGCATATGTGGACTGTATAAATAGCATAACTTAAGGTTTCTGGAGATGATTTGCTAACTGTAATATTTTTTGGCCCACTAGACTGTATCTCAGTATGGACATACAAACTCCACAGTACTGAAGTGACACCTACTTGCATTAGATCCAGTGTGGCCAACAATCAGAAACTTGGAGAAAACCTAGCTGTGGCATTACTTACAATGAAACAAAAAAGGAGGAAGAAGAAAGTGTTTTTTCCTACAGAACTCTTAGTGATTCTCTACTCCTCCAATGAAACAGCATATCTATACATACTCACCCAAACACGATGAACTCCTTGTCCTGACTTCCCATGAATTACAGGGGAAAGACAACACCTTAAGGAATAACCATTTTTAAAACTGACAGGACGACAGTTGTTAAAATACTACAAACCACATAAATCTCTTCATGGACAGAAGTAAACTCACACAAATTTCTGTGCAACCTGTGTGGTAGCAAAACCCCACATAACAGCCACAGTAACTTCACCAGGGGATTAATATTTTTCAGTCAAAAGCCTGTGGCACAATAAAAGTCCAAGACACTATAATATAGGTGGGCTTCTAAGGCCCTGGTGAACCAACTGGTCTTGAAAATCATAAAGACTTTCTTTTTCTCCTAGGGCAATTATTCCCACAATGATAGGAAAACAAGCTTTTTCCTACCTCACTGTCATGTAAACTAAACAACCTGAAAAGCCAAATTGATCCTCAGGAAGAACCTCCTTAGCCAGGTGGATAACAACCCATCAGCATCCCCGAAGAAAAATAGAAAAACTAACAGCACTTCAAAATAAGGATAATCTCGAGAATAGGCATAGTCAAAGGATAAAAACTAGAACCACACAACAGCTATAACATGGATAATAAGGAACAGCCCACGCTGGCAATAGCACTCTACCTTGAGAGACTTGGGATTTTAACATTACTTCTAGGAAACAACGACATAAAACTCTTGCTGAGGATGAAAGAGAGAGAGTTAACTGCACTAGGTGTGATTTTAAGATAGAGTTTGAAATAAAACTGAATACCTAGACAGCCTACCCACACGTTTCTCAAATGTTCAGACAACGAGCAGCACAATTTGCGAGTTTATAACCTCAGCTCAGACTCCCTATCCCTGGAGGAAACAAAAATCAGGTAGACTGAGTGTTGTTTGAACCCTAAGAACCAATGAGTTCATAGCACCTTTTATAGCTTTGTGCCCAACGGGATATTTATCCTGCTCAGGACTCTGGTTGAGAATACTCCTGCTTGCTGATGAACAAAGCTCCATAAATACACTGTTGTTTGGTGTGTGTTTTTTTTCCTGGATCATTTAGTAAGACAGAAAAATATGCCTGGTAACAGCTGTGAGGCCAGAGATCTGAAACTCAAGTTTGCTTAGAACTATTACTGATGAACATGAAGAAAAAATAAAACGTTGAGAAAAAAACACAGCCATGCAGCAGTACAGACAGCACATCCTTGCCCCGGCTGTTCACCCTCCTGCAGAAAACCAATGCATCTCCATTAAAACAACCAGGCTGCTAATGGCTGTTGTTTAGAATTACTCTGTCATGCCAGGAGCTAACTTTATGTTCTTGTCCGGCATGGGTAACAGTTACTTTGCAAATCATTTTTCTAACATCTCCTGCTTTCTGCTCTTCTAAGCTTTGCCAAACCATTAAAAATGGACTCATAGCTAACAAGGAAGACTGGATGGGGAATAATGGGAGTGTTTTGACCTGTTCAGTCCACAGAAAAGCTGGCAAAATGCTCTTCTCACACCTCGAAGCAGCAAGTGCTGCTGGCAGGATAGCAGGCAATACAGCACCATGAATGCAGCTTCTTACTGCCTAATCTTGCAGATGCCTCGTCCCATGATACCTGCATCCATAAACCCACAGGAACTAGTTCAATGAAATTCCTCCAGTTTAATTCATTAAAATATGCCGCTAACTGATCATCAGAAAGCTTTCAGGTATATAATACAGTAAAGATACAAATGGAATTAACATTTACAATGGTGAGCAATGGAGGACTGTCTTCCTACACCTGGTATTCACAGGTGTCCCACAGGGTCCCCTTCCAAGTCCTGCATCTACCCCATGCAAAATGGGAGGAACTAAAACTACCATCATGCCCAATTCAGCCTTTCTTTGGACATGACTACAGACAACAGATGTTGAACTTTTGTCTGTAAGTAACACTAGTTTCAATCATCTGTTCAGTGATAAGACAAAAAAAAAAAAGAGAGAGAAATAAAGAACAAAGTGGTAGGCACGTTCCTACCACTGCACTGGGCAGAGAAAATCGAGTAGCAAAAATTAAAAAGTGCTATTAGGAAGCCAGCAGCAAGGGGAAATTGCTGAAGAAAAAATACAGAAGGCAGTTTCCAGAGAGAACCACTCTGAAGAAAAAACTCACATTTTTTCCATCAGTAAGTGCTATTAGGAATCCAGTAGCAAGGGGAAATTGGGGAAATGGGGAAAGAAGGCAGTTTCCAGAGAGAACCACTCTCATAACTGCTAACCTACGATGACACGACTTTGCTCCGCTCCTGCCACAGCTACCTACTTCCCCCTCCACAAAACCTATTGCAGACATCTGCATCACCATAAAAAAGAAAAAAAAACAAAAACAAAAACAAAAAAAACACTTGTCTTCCAACAAAGAGCTAACTCCAATTCTTCTTGCACAGAACAACCCAGGTGACAGGGATGAAGATGGACACTCCTGCTGGACCCAGACACGCAGCAAGATGGGGAGTAGCCCAGGGTGGTGGCACGGCTGGGGTGCGACTCTAAAGAAATTAATGTGAAAGTAATTCCCAGGAGAAGCATTTCCTGCTGGAAGAACACCCAGGCCTCATGCTGCATTTGTCATTCACACGGTCGGTCTGTCAATACTTTACAGATCCCTGCTGCCTGCACCTGAAGCAGAGCAAGCTCTGCCCCTCCTGCAATCAATGGCTGTGCCCCAGGCTGCCCCACCACCAAAAGGAGACCCGAGGTCCCCAGCCAAGCCACTGCCACAAGCACAAGGGACACTCATGTGCACCTGAATCCCAGCTAAGAACAAACTACATCTGCAGCAAGTGCCGGGTTCTGACAAGAAAACACAACATTTTACAGACAGCGTAATTACAAGCTGCATCAATTCTACTACTTTATTCAGCCATTCTCAAAGCAACCAGGATTTGAATCTTACAAAAATACTTTTTGACTAAGTTCAGGATTGAAACAGCTTTAAATATGCAAATTGTACTTGCATATTTTGCATTTGTAAAATGAATTTGTAAAATGCATACAAAATTTGCATTTGTATTGCAAATCCCACCCAATAGCTTCCACTACTGGAAAGGATTTGACAGCTTTATTTTGAAAGCAAAACTACCCTAAACACTGCATATCCCAATCTTCATGCATTCCTAAATCCCATTAAGAAGTAATAGGCCCAACAGAAGCCTTACCTTAGGTGTTCTGTGGTATGTTAAATGGTATGGTCAAAATTTTAAATACTGCATATGCACATATGTCTAAGTTAAAAATATATATATATATATATAAAACTATCAAATTTCCAGCTACTGCATTTGCTTTGTCAGATTAATCTGTCAGATTAAAGAGAATCAGTGAATTTAAACTCTGCATTGAGAGAAGGAAAAAAAAGGCTGTGCAGTACAGATATTCAAAACTAATTTCCCTGACCTCAGCAAGTTGTTAGCTACAGCAGTTAACATATAGGGTGCAATTACTCACAACCATGCACACAAGGCATGAAAGTAGCTTCTTCACTCCAGCCTTCCCTAATCTACATCATTTAAACCCAACTATTCCTTGCAGGTGTGTACACACACAACTTCAACAATTCAGTTGCATAAAGAGTACCTCACACCTGCACTGTTTTCTTTGCTTTGAAGGAATATAAAAGAAAGCAGAAATGCAGGGGGTCATGGTACATGGCACAATGTAACCCACCCGTCTTGTGATCCATCCATCCACCACTGAGCCAGTGGCTGTTTCAGCCATAATTCCTAAACACTGATCATTCCCTTTCCCAGATGGCTATTAGGGACTGGGCTTTAGTGGGATAACAAGATGCACGAGCAGACACCCTGTATTCTCTTGGTACAGCAGAGCCCTCTTGGGCACACAGATCTGGCACCAGGATTGAAGGTTTTATGTCATCTTTCTCCCACCACTCATTAATCAATGTATGGTTTAATCAACCAAGAACTTAATCTGTAGAAACCTTCCCTGGAATGGTACCGTCCTTCCACAAACTTGAATAAATATCCAAAACACCTTTCTAAATAAAAACGAAAGGAACTAGTCCAAAATCTTCTTGCCATACTGCCACATCCAAAAAAAACACTTATTGCCATAAAATCATATTTTTACCATCTGCTCTGTAACGAAGACAACATACAGACAGTTACACAGTTAGTACAGGTCATGCTCCTAAGTTCAAGAGCTTACCATTCAGGGGGTACCATACTTCCATCCACTTCCCAAAATGTATTTTTGCCATTCATCTCATGAGTATATACGACCCATCGATGCCGACCTTCATTAGACAAATAGAAAATATTGATTTGCTTAAGAAAATAAAGAATATTCATAAAATAGAAAACAATTCATGAAAACACAAGGAAAACTATTTTGACTAAAAGGGTCTACTATTATAGGCACACATTTCAAATTCAGTAAAGCCATGACTGCTAAATAGATGAAGCTTTTATTTTTCTGATTTTCTGCCTTACCTACTATTTTCATAGGGCTGAATCTACAAAGTTCTCACAAGGGAGCAAATAGCAGCTAACAGTATAAGTAACTGCAAACAAGAACTTAGGAAACTCTTTACTTTTCATTCGGAGATACCTTCATTTCTGCTCCCGCCTCCTTTCTCCAAGGGGACACTGCCATTTGTAACAAAAGACTAACCCAAACATCTGCTCTTGGCACTTCCACATATCAAACTATGAAATGATGTTCACCTGTAACCCCTTTTTCTCCAGTTACCCCACAAGTTCACTTACAGCAGGCAGAACATGAGCTAAACCAGCCGGTTGTTCCGTTATGCTGCACTGTTTTTGATGCTAGCTTTCAGAACACCCCACAGAGCTTATTTGCAAACCCTTCTCTTAAGCTAAGGCAGTAAGTTTGAACTACTTATTGCTTCCCTGCACCTGAAGGAATCGTACATAGTCCAGCTGTGAGGCACTTCTGGAGGCCATTCTCTTCCTTCCGTGACTTGTTAAAGCTCTTAGGTCAAAGACTAAATTGAGCTCTCAACCATACCATATAGACATACCTACATGGAAGGCATCTGACTGGCTTAGATTTATCCCACATTTATTATGTCAGACTGAGCCTGCTGGCCAGTGAACTGCAGGAAGCAGTGGAGAGAGGGGGGATACTGAAGCATTTCTTTCAGTCCCCTAACACCTGAACAAATCATGTGCAAGGAAGTCGAGTGGGCAATAAATTCCACTTCTCTAGCAGAAACTATTTAGTCTAGACAACGTTGGACAGCAAGTCAAGAAGTGTTCACACGTACCAAAGAAGTTTCTTTTGTCTTCATAGTATTTATTTCCGTATTTGTCGACTCCTATCAGTGTACCAGTCTTCAAATCATTGACCCTGTGAATTCCCAAGAAAACAGTTTCAATTGACATCATCTTCTTAGAATGAAGCTGCCGTAAAGGTTTTGTTGAAGTTGGTAAAAGTCAAAATTAGAACTCTTAAACACACAGACATAAAGTAAACACACGGATATAAAGCAAACACAAGCTTTTGGACATCAAAACGTATTGCCAATATATTGCCATATGTTTCCATGGCTCATGTCTTTAGAAATCTTTGAATCCAAAAAAGTGATCAAATTCTACAATAATGATTTTGGTTTTATTATTTTCAAGCCTAGCTGTTAAGATTGAAAAACACAGTATTGGGTCCACATAAGCAAAGGTAGACTTCAAGTATACTGAGAAAATAACTTGGACACTTGATTTAAAAATTATGATGCAGAATCAGTGTTCAAAAGATTAGGCTGATTGCAGGACTCTGCCTTCCAAAACAATAGCAACCAAATGAATTCATCTTTTTGAGATAAAACACCACTGTTTCCCATAAAGCTCAAGAACACCTGCTGTAACTAACATCAGATAGTGTTCCCACAAGTGCTAAAATTAAAACATTTGCTCTTAATGACATTGCAAGAATTTTGACAGAGTCAACAACTTAGAAAAGAGTCAAATAAATATTTCTGAGATTACCAAATCACCTAATTAGCAAATGTTCAGGGACCAAAAAGCAATGCCTTTTTTTTTTTTTCTTCCCTCCTACCAGGGAATCTCAAGGATAAATACTGTCCTGACAGCCAAAACCAGCAAAGGTATTTAGAGGCTAAGTCAGGCTAAGTCATTCAAGACTGAGACGCTCACTTCTAGCTTCAGGAAAAAAAAAATACCCAGACATTTCACTGCCAACCTTGTTTCCATCTTCCTCTACCTTTCTTGTGAAGGTTGTTATTTACCATTTCAGGTCCTGAATCAAACACGACAGGTATTGTATTTGCCACCTTCGGAGGCAAAGAGGATGTTTCCTAACCAATTTCACTGAGTTTCAAGGAAGGAGATCATCTGCAGGCAAACGAGTCTGTTAATAATTTTACTTCTACTGTATAAAAAACGGTTCATGTATCTTCTGTAGGAAGCACATAGAGAAAAACAGGGAAACAGACAAAAAACAGTCCTTGCAGCAAAAAATTCTCCTGGCTAGGAGATAACAGAAGAAGCAGCTATCAGTTACTTCTAGAAAAATATCTCACATACACTGACAGAGGCAAGAAAGATGCATTTTGATCACTCTTCCTTTAACTGTTGAGTCTATTTACCTTTCAGGCTTGAAAGGAAAAGGGGAGCCAGCAATTATATTTGTAGCTAGCATGGTTTTGTAGCTGGAATGGCTATGGTATGAGGGTTGGATCACCCACCTAGCACACTAACTTGTCTCAAAGAAGCAGAATAGCGTTGCCTCCAACCCCACCTACACCCCTGGTCTTCTGAGAAGGGGCTCAATACAACCTGCGGTCTTCAGGTTTGCTAAAAATTCTGAGAGGAAGGCCCACCTGGGCCACAGTCTGCTCTGGAGCCAGACAAAGCAAAAAGCTGCTCTTCACCATGCGTAGTAGCAATGCAGCAACAAAGCTGGTAACTCCCAAATGTCTCACTGACTTCAGGAAAGCAGGCGATACTGCACCACGAAATAAATGAGACAACGACAGCAAAACAGCATAAGAACTGCGGAGGGATACGCTGCCTGCGAGGAAGGAGACGGCACGATCGGGGAAGGGGGAAACACTGAGGTGACTGCAGGTTACCAGTGCCGTTCCTCAAACAACACTCATGGCACCAGCCTTATTTAGCCTTTTACAGGGTTCCTGAGCAAAATGGAAACAAAGCAGAAAACACCCAAAGGCACAGGAATCTGGCAGATGGTGATATTAAAAGACCGAAGAAGGACATAGTGTTATATGGGAAGTGCTGCATGTTCTTGAGAGACGGAGTAATCCAACGGGGATGAAACTCAATGGTACCAAGCACAAGGTCTCGGGCACCTTGTTACAGATGTTACATGTTTCCATGTTTGTAATTACATGGAAAACACCCAGACATCACAAGGCAGTGATAAGTTGTCAATTAAATGACATGGGAGGGGTAGGCAGGGAGGACTAGCTGATATTAGGATACCAAAAAATGAGACTTACTCAGTGAATAGCACAAGTATGAAAGATACTGCTGAGGCCTGATGAATTTAACATGATAAAAATATATACGTTTTCGGGAGCGGAGCGCACAAACACGACCGGGAAAGGCGAAGCTGCCTGGCGGGACACCAGGTAAACCTCCCCCCGCGGCCGCCAAGGTGACCCCGCGGGGCGGCAGCGGGCCCCGGGCGGCGGCGCCCCCCGCCCCTTCCGCCGTCGCCGCCACCTCCCTGTGCGGCAGCAAAAACACCCGCCCGGGGCTCCGTTTCCCCCGCGTTTCAGGCGTTCGCGCGGGGGCTGCGGTGGCTGCTCGTGGCGTTTGCCCGGCCTCTGGTGGCCTTCAGGAGCCCCCGCGAGGCGGGGGCGTGCGGGCGAGCGCCCCAAAGCGCCGCTGCGGGGCCGCGGAGGAGCGGGGACACACGGCGACCCTCACCCTGGTGGAGGCGGCGGGTGGGAGAGCGTCCGAGCCCCGGTTCTGGTTCCTCCGGGGAGGGCAAAAAGTTAGCAAAAGGGCTAAAGCCCAAAGCAGGAAAAATTGCAAGGCAGTAGATGCAGATTTTAAGAGGTCTATTAACCTGCTGGATCATAGGCCAAGTGTGATGGACTCCATGCCATTAGAAATATAGATACTAAAATTGGATGATTTTCCTATAAAACCAGCGTTGATAAGGAATTTGAAGCACCGGTGACCAACATGGGGTTGGACTGAGCCACTGCAGAGACCCCTTTTGGCTCCAGCCCCCTCTTCCCTTGCCTCAAATCTCAACACTTTGGTTAGTTGCTTTATTTTTTCTAATAACTCTAATTTCTAAGAGCATAATAAGTAGGAACTTACTTTTTTCAAAGCTATATCTGCTTCTTGAATATCTGAAAGTGTGGCGTGATGACTTTGATCGCACAGAGAAGTGTCATGGAATCCTGCAAGTTTTAGTTTTTATTTAAATAACTATTCAGGGATAATGTTACTTTAAAACACATAAATTCATATATTGTCAGAAAATGCAAAAGATAGTTGAGCTACAGGGTGATTCCGTGACTTATGTTTTACCTTAGAAGAAATGTTTTTGCAATGTTTATCTATCCCCCCTGCTACTTCTTTCTATTCTTAGCAAAGTCTCACGCATTTATACTGTGAGGATTCACAAACGCAGAATTAAACTAAGAGGCAAGTTGAACACATTAAAGACTAACAAGACCAAATTATAAAGACTTCAAAAATCTGATCACTTCC